AGCTGGCTACCCACACACACACCATCTGCGGCAGCTGGCTACCCACACACACACCATCTGCGGCAGCTGGCTACCCACACACACACACACCACCTGCGGCAGCTGGCTACTCCCACACAAACACACCACCTGCGGCAGCTGGCTACCCACACACACACCATCTGCGGCAGCTGGCTACCCACACACACACACCATCTGCGGCAGCTGGCTACCCACACACACACCACCTGCGACAACTGGCTACCCACACACACACACCACCTGCGGCAGCTGGCTACCCACACACACACCACCTGCGGCAGCTGGCTACCCACACACACACCACCTGCGGCAGCTGGCTACCCACACACACACACCATCTGCGGCAGCTGGCTACCCATACACAAACACCACCTGCGGCAGCTGGCTACCCACACACACACACACCACCTGCAGCAGCTGGCTACCCACACACACACACCATCTGCGGCAGCTGGCTACCCACACACACACACCATCTGCGGCAGCTGGCTACCCACACACACACACACCACCTACGGCAGCTGGCTACCCACACACACACACCACCTGCGGCAGCTGGCTACCCACACACACACCACCTGCGGCAGCTGGCTACCCACACACACACACACACACCTGCGGCAGCTGGCTACCCACACACACACACACCATATGCGGCAGCTGGCTACCCACACACACACACACCACCTGCGGCAGCTGGCTACCCACACACACACACCATATGCGGCAGCTGGCTACCCACACACACACACACACCACCTGCGGCAGCTGGCTACCCACACACACACCACCTGCAGCAGCTGGCTACCCACACACACACACACCACCTGCGGCAGCTGGCTACCCACACACACACACCACCTGCGGCACCTGGCTACCACACACACACCACCTGCGGCAGCTGGCTACCCACACACACACCACCTGCGGCAGCTGGCTACCCACACACACACACACCACCTGCGGCAGCTGGCTACCCACACACACACCACCTGCGACAGCTGGCTTCCCACACACACACCATCTGCGGCAGCTGGCTACCCACACACCACCTGCGACAGCTGGCTACCCACACACACACCATCTGCGGCAGCTGGCTACCCACACACACACACCACCTGCGGCAGCTGGCTACCACAAACACACACCACCTGCGGCAGCAGGCTACCCACACACACACCACCTGCGGCAGCTGGCTACCCACACACACCACCTGCGGCAGCTGGCTACCCACACGCACACACCATCTGCGGCAGCTGGCTACCCACACACACACACCATCTGCGGCAGCTGGCTACCCACACACACACACACCATCTGCGGCACCTGGCTACCCACACACACACACACCACCTGCGGCACCTGGCTACCCACACACTCACACCACCTGCGGCAGCTGGCTAACCACACACACACCATCTGCGGCAGCTGGCTACCCACACACACACCATCTGCGGCAGCTGGCTACCCCACACACACACCACCTGCGGCAGCTGGCTACCCACACGCACACCATCTGCGGCAGCTGGCTACCACACACACACCATATGCGGCAGCTGGCTACCCATACACACCACCTGCGGCAGCTGGCTACCCACACATACACCACCTGCAGCTGCTGGCTACCCACACACACACCATATGCGGCAGCTGGCTACCCACACACACACCATCTGCGGCAGCTGGCTACCCACACACACACCACCTGCGGCAGCTGGCTACCACACACACACCACCAGCGGCAGCTGGCTACCCCCCCACACACACCCCACCTGCGGCAGCTGGCTACCCACACACACACCACCAGCGGCAGCTGGCTACCCACACACCACCTGCGACAGCTGGATACCCACACACACACACCATCTGCGGCAGCTGGCTACCCACACACACACACCACCTGCGGCAGCTGGCTACCCACACACACACCACCTGCGGCAGCTGGCTACCCACACACACACCACCTGCGGCAGCTGGCTACCCACACACACACACCATTTGCGGCAGCTGGCTACCCACACACACACCATCTGCGGCAGCTGGCTACCCACACACACACACACACACCACCTGCGGCAGCTGGCTACCCACACACACACACCATCTGCGGCAGCTGGCTACCCACACATACACACACCACCTGCGGCAGCTGGCTACCCACACACACACACCACCTGCGGCAGCTGGCTACCCACACACACACCACCTGCGGCTGCTTGCTACCCACACACACACACCACCTGCGGCAGCTGGCTACACACACACACCACCTGCGGCAGCTGGCTACCCACACACACACCACCTGCGGCAGCTGGCTACCCACACACACACACACCACCTGCGGCACCTGGCTACCCACACATACACACCACCTGCGGCAGCTGGCTACCCACACACACACACACACCACCTGCGGCAGCTGGCTACCCACACACACACACCACCTGCGGCAGCTGGCTACCCACACACACACCACCTGCGGCAGCTGGCTACCCACACACACACCAACTGCGGCAGCTGGCTATCCACACACACATACACCACCTGCGGCAGCTGGCTACCCACACACACACCACCTGCGGCAGCTGGCTATCCACACACACACACCACCTGCGGCAGTTGGCTACCCACACACACACACACACCACCTGCGGCAGCTGGCTATCCACACCCACACACACACACCACCTGCGGCAGCTGGCTACCCACACACACACACCACCTGCGGCAGCTGGCTATCCACACACCCACCACCTGCGGCAGCTGGCTACCCACACACACACACCACCTGCGGCAGCTGGCTACCCACACACACACCACCTGCGGCAGCTGGCTACCCACACACACACACACCACCTGCGGCAGCTGGCTACCCACACACACACACCACCTGCGGCAGCTGGCTATCCACACACACACCACCTGCGGCAGCTGGCTACCCACACACACACACCACCTGCGGCAGCTGGCTACCCATACACACACCACCTGCGGCAGCTGGCTACGCACACACACCCCACCTGCGGCAGCTGGCTACCCACACACACATACCACCTGCGGCAGCTGGCTTCCCACACACACACGCACCACCTGCGGCAGCTGACTACCCACACACACACACACCACCTGCAGCAGGTGGCTACCCACACACACACACACACCACCTGCGTCAGCCGGCTACCCACACACACACACCACCTGCGGCAGCTGGCTACCCACACACACACACCACCTGCGGCAGCTGGCTACCCACACACACACACACCACCTGCGGCAGCTGGCTACCCACACACACACCACCTGCGGCAGCTGGCTACCCACACACACACCACCTGCGGCAGCTGGCTACCCACACACACCATTTGCGGCAGCTGGCTACCCACACACACACCATCTGCGGCAGCTGGCTACCCACACACACACACACACACCACCTGCGGCAGCTGGCTACCCCCACACACACACCATCTGCGGCAGCTGGCTACCCACACATACACACACCACCTGCGGCAGCTGGCTACCCACACACACACCACCTGCGGCAGCTGGCTACCCACACACACACCACCTGCGGCTGCTTGCTACCCACACACACACACCACCTGCGGCAGCTGGCTACACACACACACACCACCTGCGGCAGCTGGCTACCCACACACACACCACCTGCGGCAGCTGGCTACCCACACACACACACACCACCTGCGGCACCTGGCTACCCACACATACACACCACCTGCGGCAGCTGGCTACCCACACACACACACACACACCACCTGCGGCAGCTGGCTACCCACACACACACACCACCTGCGGCAGCTGGCTACCCACACACACACCCCCTGCGGCAGCTGGCTACCCACACACACACACCACCTGCGGCAGCTGGCTATCCACACACACATACACCACCTGCGGCAGCTGGCTACCCACACACACACCACCTGCGGCAGCTGGCTATCCACACACACACACCACCTGCGGCAGGTGGCTACCCACACACACACACACCCCCTGCGGCAGCTGGCTATCCACACCCACACACACACCACCTGCGGCAGCTGGCTACCCACACACACACACCACCTGCGGCAGCTGGCTATCCACACACCCACCACCTGCGGCAGCTGGCTACCCACACACACACACCACCTGCGACAGCTGGCTACCCATACACACACCACCTGCGGCAGCTGGCTACGCACACACACACACCACCTGCGGCAGCTGGCTACCCACACACACACACCACCTGCGGCAGCTGGCTACCCACACACACACACCACCTGCGGCAGCTGGCTATCCACACACACACACACACCACCTGCGGCAGCTGGCTACCCACACACACACACACCACCTGCGGCAGCTGGCTATCCACACACACACCACCTGCGGCAGCTGGCTACCCACACACACACACACCACCTGCGGCAGCTGGCTACCCACACACACACACCACCTGCGGCAGCTGGCTATCCACACACACACCACCTGCGGCAGCTGGCTACCCACACACACACACCACCTGCGGCAGCTGGCTACCCATACACACACCACCTGCGGCAGCTGGCTACGCACACACACACACCACCTGCGGCAGCTGGCTACCCACACACACATACCACCTGCGGCAGCTGGCTTCCCCCACACACACGCACCACCTGCGGCAGCTGACTACCCACACACACACACACCACCTGCAGCAGGTGGCTACCCACACACACACACACACACCACCTGCGTCAGCCGGCTACCCACACACACACACCACCTGCGGCAGCTGGCTACCCACACACACACCACCTGCGGCAGCTGGCTACCCACACACACACACCACCTGCGGCAGCTGGCAACCCACACACACACACACCACCTGCGGCAGCTGGCTACCCACACACACACACCACCTGCGGCAGCTGGCAACCCACACACACACACACCACCTGCGGCAGCTGGTTACCCACACACACACACACCACCTGCGGCAGGTACTGAACTAATAAGAGCTCCCACACCTGAAGCAGCTGCTCTATTTCCTCGTTAGTCTCGTCCACTTCCTGGAGTTCTTCCTCACTCTTATTTACCTGAAAACATAATTCGTGTTACTAAGAGGCAGAGTGTATGTTATTCTAAGTTATTACTCACTCAGAGTGTATGTTATTCTAAGTTATTACTCACACAGAGTGTATGTTATTCTAAGTTATTACTCACACAGAGTGTATGTTATTCTAAGTTATTACTCACACAGAGTGTATGTTATTCTAAGTTATTACTCACACAGAGTGTATGTTATTCTAAGTTATTACTCACACAGAGTGTATGTTATTCTAAGTTATTACTCACACAGAGTGTATGTTATTCTAAGTTATTACTCACACAGAGTGTATGTTATTCTAAGTTATTACTCACACAGAGTGTATGTTATTCTAAGTTATTACTCACACAGAGTGTATGTTATTCTAAGTTATTACTCTCACAGAGTGTATGTTATTCTAAGTTATTACTCACACAGAGTGTATGTTATTCTAAGTTATTACTCACACAGAGTGTATGTTATTCTAAGTTATTACTCACACAGAGTGTATGTTATTCTAAGTTATTACTCTCACAGAGTGTATGTTATTCTAAGTTATTACTCACACAGAGTGTATGTTATTCTATGTTATTACTCACACAGAGTGTATGTTATTCTAAGTTATTACTCACTCAGAGTGTGTGTTATTCTATGTTATTACTCACACAGAGTGTATGTTATTCTAAGTTATTACTCACACAGAGTGCATGTTATTCTAAGTTATTACTCTCACAGAGTGTATGTTATTCTAAGTTATTACTGACACAGAGTTTATGTTATTCTAAGTTATTACTCTCACAGAGTGTATGTTATTCTAAGTTATTACTCACACAGAGTGTATGTTATTCTAAGTTATTACTCACACAGAGTGTATATTATTCTAAGTTGTTACTCAGAAAGGATGCATGATATTCAAAGTTATTACTCAAACAGAGTGTACTCTATGTTATAAATATTTAGGTAGACTGTATAATGTAATTTTCCAATTGTATTACTTTGTCACTTTGTCAAAATCGATCTCACTTTGTCAGCAAATGTTTACCAATACCAGGCTATTTCATTCTGTTGCCTCGATAGATCTTCGTCGCACGCTTCATCAGCTTCAATTGCAAGATAGCCACAGTAGCAATTTGAGGCGACCAACAATTGATTTAGACACAGGGGGGGGTGGGTAACTTGACAGTGAGGAACTAATGGTGTGTGTTCTTGTCTATCTGCCAATAGATAGAACATCGTACCGGGTCAACCCGGTACGATGTTCCTGGTGAGAATACCTCTACTGGCTCCTGGAGGGGGGCTTGCTAGGGTCTGATTGGAGCACAACCGTCAGGTCTATGAACTGAGCAATATCATCAAAGCACAGGTGCTGTGCACATACTCATACACAAGCAGGTCCACAGGGGGTCTGGCACCTGGTATCTCACGGTACTCTGTGCGTGGTACTGCAGGGAGTTCGCAGAAGCACGGCGATCCTCTCAGCGTTACACAACAACACTACTGTACAGTGAACCACCAACCACCAACATATCCACTACCTCCAGGAACTAAATCAATATTATGCGTCAGTGAACGCACAGGGCGAAGGGGGAGGAGAGTCAGCCATCTTGCCTTGTCGAGACTGGAAACGTACCTCGACAGTCCTTAGAGTCCTCTCTAAATTACGAGGTATCCTTAAGTATTACTTCACATCGACCTCGTCAACAACACGGGAAATATCTCGTAGCTGGTTCTAAGACAGTTGATTAGACTGGCCAGTCTATTTTTGTTGTGAAGTTCTCGGTTATAAGGTATGGACACCAGCCCTAAGGGGTAAGCCTTCTCCACAAATATACCACAATGTGATAAATCTGAGGAAGAGGCTTACCCCCTTAATGTAAGGGTAAATCAAATAATTTTGTCTGATTATGTGATAATCACATAAACTGATTTATTTCATTTATTCAATATTATTTATGAATGAAATTATATTGTAACTTATTGGCAGGCGTGTGCAGTGTTACCTTGAGGTTACCTTGAGGTGCTTCCGGGGCTTAGCGTCCCCGCGGCCCGGTCGTCGACCAGGCCTCCAAAGGTGTGAAGACAAGATGGATGGTGAGATGTGTGGGAAATTCTACCCACTACATCAGCATTATTATCTAAGAAATGTATTATTTCTATATCATATCAAAATCATATCAGAATCACTACAGACTCATTATATCCTACATCTAGACCCGACATGACAATGCCACTATGAACACATACACCATTGGGCCCATGGTGCCTATGTGAACACATACACCATTGGGCCCATGGTGCCTATGTGAACACATACACCATTGGGCCCATGGTGCCTATGTGAACACATACACCATTGGGCCCATGGTGCCTATGTGAACACATACACCATTGGGCCCATGGTGCCTATGTGAACACATACACCATTGGGCCCATGGTGCCTATGTGAACACATACACCATTGGGCCCATGGTGCCTATGTGAACACATACACCATTGGGCCCATGGTGCCTATGTGAACACATACACCATTGGGCCCATGGTGCCTATGTGAACACATACACCATTGGGCCCATGGTGCCTATGTGAACACATACACCATTGGGCCCATGGTGCCTATGTGAACACATACACCATTGGGCCCATGGTGCCTATGTGAACACATACACCATTGGGCCCATGGTGCCTATGTGACTTTGTGCATGATTTCTCAAGGATGTATAAGCTTCGAGAACAATATCTTGTATAATATTACAATATAACAATAACAAATTGTTGTGAACATCATTCGATTTCCGGTAAGGATTAAATCAAATTCTTAATAAGAATTAATAATACTACCAATAATCTATTATTCTTATATATAATTATATTATAATCATGACTTATCTATATCATATGTCTAGACAATACAAATAATCAATCAATATAGCGTATGTTTACAAACAATGAACACTTGTGACGGTGCCTTGCGAGGATATTCAGTAATGGATGCAGTACTAACTTATCATTATCATCAGTGATTACTCTCTAGAACTGGGGGGGGGGGGTACCTGGACAAAATCTAAAAGGAAAAATTCCTAGTACTTTATCTAAAAGAAGAGTGTAGAGTGGAGCACACCAAGTGAAGCCGCCTAAACCACACCTAATCTTAATCCTACTACAAACGCTATTAAGGACATATTCAACAGCAAAGCTGTTATTTTATTATCAAAAATACAGTGCCTATTATCTCCAAGAGAAATTATACAGTCTGGCCATTTGTCAGACGGCACTCGGCACTCAGATTGGATAAACATATGTATTGAGTGTGATTATAGTGTGTTGATTAACCAATTGCATCCTTCTGTAACCTTAAATTAATATATCCAATAAGTCTGTTTGTCGTTACAGAGCGGGGCGATGCCCCATATTTCAGCAAGTTTTTATTAATCTTTCAGTCACTGAATATTTTCAAATTATCTGGACACTCATTAATTCAACCTCATTCATTGAAAGAAATTCTGCAACTGAATCTCTTCCTTGAATTAAGACATTCATTGAAAATCAAGCTAGACTGAAGCTTTTCATATAAATTAAATGTATCTATGTAATTGATAATATAGATTAAGTTAACAATTGCTTACTTAGTTATCTTTAATTTATCATATAAGTTTATCATATTGAATATAATTCATGTGCCTAGATTTCATTGCACTTAGACCACATTTAAGGTCATTTGATTGCAAATTTATATATATCATACCTATATAATACAAATTGTTGTGTTTATTACTATGTGCATATTGGCTGTTGTAGTTATGGTACTACACAAGGTACTATGGTTTGAGCCGGTCGGCCGAGCGGACAGCACGCGGGACTTGTGATCCTGTGGTCCTGGGTTCGATCCCAGGCGCCGGAGAGAAACAATGGGCAGAGTTTCTTTCACCCTATGCCCCTGTTACCTAGCAGTAAATTAGGTACCTGGGTGTTAGTCAGCTGTCACGGGCTGCTTCCTGAGGGTGGAGGCCTGGTCAAGGACCAGGCCGCGGGGACACTAAAAAAGCCCCGAAAACATCTCAAGATAACCTCAAGAAGATACTAAGCTGGATTGTGTACATGTTGACCAGACCACACACTAGAAAGTGAAGAGACGACGACGTTTCGGTCCGTCCTGGACCATTATCATGTCGATTGAGATTTAAGTTGGTTATCAATTACCCGATTGATAATCGATTATTATCGATAGAGTCGATTATCAAGTCGATTCACAGTCGACTCGATAATGGTTCAGGACGAACTGAAACGTTGTTTCTTCACTTTCTAGTATGTGGTTTGATCACAATTTTTCAGCCACGTTATTGTGACTTCTCGTCTGCACTGTGTACATGTTTAGATCCTTGATTAAAACAGCACCAGTGTTCAGTTATAGAACTGAGTTTATTTAATCTTGTCCTTGTATTAACAATACAAGTTGATGTGTCGAATTGTCTGCAGGTGGATTGTAGATCTTCATTCAACTTTTACATTCATCCTTAGGGACCCTACCTGCCCCTACAGGACCACAGTTTGTCATTAGGACAATCCTCCCCACCATCTCCCACTCCCCTGTCCCCTCATTCTCCACTCCCGCGTCCCCTCATCATCCCAACCATCCCCCGTACCCTCGACCTCCCCACCATTCCTCACTTCCCTGTTCCCTTGTCCTCCCCACCTTTCTCCACCCTCCATCCCCTTGTCCTAACCACCATCCCCCACTCCCCTGTCCCCTCGTCCTCCAAAAACATTACCCCCGCGCCCTCCCCATCCCCCACTCCCATCCCCTAGTCCTCCCCACCATTCCCCACTCCCTCGTCCAATGCGTCCAATGCGTTCCTAAATGATCTGATGTTCCCATAAAAAAATTGGAACATCAAATGATCTGACGTTCCCATCACTGAAAAATAAGAAAAACAGTTTAAAAAATAAAATGAAAAAAAAAATAAACTATACTCATGAAATGAGTGGTACGGTAAACAACACAGCTCAATTCCA